CCCCAAAACCCCAAAACCCCAAAACCCCAAAACCCCAAGAGTAAGAAGATAGTAAAATAAAGTTAAAAGTGAAGTCATTTCATTAATATAAGTTAAATTTAAAGTTACCAATAGTCTTTGTCTGTCAGGCATCAAATAGGTTTCTTTTGATGTCATGACCGACTCTTGAAAAATTGCTTTGCTGCTCTTGAACTTCGTCAACATTCATTTATTACCAACTCATCACACTTGGTGATGCTTACTAACCTCCATCAGTGAACTCATGGGAGGACACTGAAGGGTACTTATTCGAAAAAAGTTTCTTTTTGGCTGATCCGCCTAGACTGAAACACTTGACACTGGTGTCAAAATTGGAGGAATTGCGATTTACCAGGGAGGGTTAATGACTATTTGTATAGCTAATGGCATTTACTTTACTGACCTTGTTTTGAGATTTCTCATTGGAGTTCTTCAGCTAGAAACCTCCAGTGGAGTTACTGCTCACTCTGGAGAGATTTCCTAAACTTGCCTTTCCCATTAAAGGGGTTGCAGAAAGGAAATTAGAACTCTGATATTCTGGGTTAATATTAGCTGAATTGTAGTTCTCATTGAAAGAGAACTGCTTGTTGCTGTTTAGTTCATTCAGCTTCAATGAACTAATTGGGATGCTCTAGAAAATATTTGAATGAGTATGTTGTGAGTGGTTGCTGCTACTTTATATAGAAATACTCTTAGTCTCATTATCTTCCTCGGTCATCATCTCATCTACAGTCTCAAAAATGTTGCCCATGTTTGTATTCAGGAAGCTGTTGAAGTTCAAACCTCTAATAGTAAAAGGCCCTACATCATTGAAATTCTCAGCAGATATATCACCTTTCATTGGCTCAGGCATGTCGAATTTTAGTTTCTTTGCACTCTTATAGAACTGCTCGTCCTAATTACTGTGAGGATTTTGCTTGCTTGTATTGGCTATGCTATTTTTGTTTTGCATCTAGGTGTACTAATTTAAGTTATTGTACTATTCATGGTCTTCCATAAAAGAACCAGATCTGCCAAAGGTCCTTAGATTATTTCCCTCTTAATTCTGATCAAGGCTAGAGTATAAGAACTCATCATGAAAATACTCATCACTCTTAATATTTACCTTTACTTTTTCGTAGGAATCAGAACTATTGTCACTTGAGAATTGGTTTTTTGTCCTTTTGGAGTACTAGATTTACTTTGAAGCACTCTTTAGAATTCTTGGGGAGATAAGAATCATTTCAGCCTTGTTGGATTTATTTTTAGTTGAAATAGGATTCCTCAGTTTTTCTACAATTGGTGATTCAATATGGTTTAATTTTAGAGTTCTTTTGACTGATGGATTGAGCACTCCTGCAATAAGCTAAAGCTTAGGGTGGAGGAGTATTTCATCTATGGTTGGTCTATTTTCTGGATTTGGCTCCATCATCATATTGATTAATTATTCTAATTGGTCAGATCTGCTTGCACTTGGTGAGAACTAGATAATATCCCCTTATCTTAATTTTTGCCACATCATCCCATTTTGAGGCAAGTTCATGCCAGAGGCCAGTTCTAAAAGCGAAGCACCTAAACTAAATAAATCTGCCTTTGATGTTATCTTCTCCTGAATTGTTATATTATTTTTTAATAACTCTGGCGCCATATAAACTGAGTCACCTTCAACATCATCATCTCTTAGCTTGGCAAGGTTAATGAGCTCAATAGCTTAACCAAAATCTCCAAGCTTAATGGATCCATCAGCCATTACGAAATAATTTGAAGGTTTAATATCTAAATGTACGAATCCCATATCATGAACATGCTTGATTGCGCAAGCCATTTGATAAAGGAACTTCCAAATGTCATCTTCGTTTAGCAGTTCATTTTCTTGTAACTTCTCAAGCTCAACAAGGTAATCGTTTAAATTCCCCTTCTCGCATAATTCACTTCTAATGTATAAATATCCACTCTCTTCCCAAGCCTCATAAACTTTGACACAATAATCACTATAACTCTTAGAATTGCTTCTCTTTTTGATCGGTACTTCACTAATCTGACTAGTAATTTTCAAAGCTTTGTGTACTTCTGATAGCTTTGATTCTCTGTCCCTATATCCTTAATATCTCTCTTTGGCCTTTTTGACTGCGTACATTTATCCGTCAACTTTGCTTCTTACTTTGAAAGCCTCTCCAAAACTTCCCTCTCCAATTTTACAGATTATCTGGAAATCACTGAGGAACCTATCGCATTTTTGCATTTAAACCACAGTCACCTTCATTTTCCTAGACTAGTTTGAATCTTTAGTGCTATCACCACAGGATTCTTCTGAGAAATGCAAAATATTCGCAAAAGGGGAGTATATTTCCTGAGAAGCGTGACTTTTATTCTTTTTTGCTGGAGTATTAGGTACAAATCGTTTTGTTTTCTGAGCACTAATCAACTTAGATGAAAACCCATACTCTGGAATGGACAAATAAACTAATTAGGATCTATAGATATTAGTTATAACTGATATGGAAAATTCAAATTTGAAAACGAAAATGAAAAGAGACTTACTTGTTTATATCAACTCCTGGTGAATATGTGATATGCTTCGGGGAACACTCGAGTTGTATTGATGCTTAATTGTATGGAGTAAGTGGACATATTTGGATTTACTAAGTAAGGCCTGTTGATCGATGTTTTATAGGTTACATGCCTCCTCCCACTGATTTGTGCTAGAGGGGTTGTATAGACACAAGATTCTAACTCATTATTTAAATTACAAAGGCTTATTCTCGCAATATTTATATTTGCGAAACTATTTTATAATTTTTTCTTCGCGGGGTTTTGGGGTTTTGGGGTTTTGGGGTTTTGGGG